GCAGTCACAGATGATGAGCAGACTACGGCGGGGGATACTGACCGCACAGCACATCAATGCATAGGTGCTGGCTGCAACTCGTATACGCGCGTGCGCGTCGCGTCGCGTCGCGTCGCGTCGTAGTCACGCTGCCGGGTTGACCTGCGGCCACATAAAAGACGGCAGGCCCCCCGCCCTCTCCCTCACGGCCTGCACATGGCATTCGCACGGGCTTTAGAGCTGACGCTGGCATTTCCGCCGACACCCTTACAAGCAGTCCATGCGCTTGCCATGCTCAGTGCGCGTGCTGAGGCAGCCAAGAGCAGGGGCGGCCAATCTGTCCATGCTCTTTGCTGCCCCCGTTGCTTCCGTCGCGCTGATTACTCTCGTTTGACTCTGCCCCTCTTCTGACTTTCAACCTGGTGACGGCGACCATGTTCGGGGACATCGCCCATTCCTGAGTGAGTCGCACTCATCACATGCTGTATACAACACTGACGTCATTGCTTGGCTCAGTGCTTGCGTTGCAATTTCGCGAAGTCCAAGAGTTTGCATGCATGCAAAGTGGCCTCCACCCGCCGTTCAACGCCCCACGTTCAGCTCAGAGCGCCGCTTTGCAACGCCGTACCGGTGCAAGAGAGGTAGGAGAGCTCTCGCTTCGCGACGCATCACTTAGGCTTGCCGCAGAGCACCGCAACATGCCATCGAGCCCGACGATGCTCGCCCTCAAACGCGATCCGGCGCTCGCCCTCAAACGCGACCCGACGCCTGGCCTCGAACGCCCCCGACGCGCCCTCCAGAATTCCCGCGCGCTCGCCCCGTGCCTTCTCACTCCAGCCCGCCCGTGCCTTCTTGCTTCAGCCCATCCATGCCTTCTCCTCCCACCCGCCCGCGCGCTCGCCATCTAGGCCGTTCGCCTCCGGGATCGTCGTCCAGCTCTGCCCGCCCTCGGAATCGTCATCCAGCTTCACCCGCGCGAAGCCTCGTCGCCCGCCCGCACGCCCGACGCCTTGTCGTCCCCCGCGTTCCTGGGCTCGCTGCCCACCGTGTTCCTGGGTTCACCGCCCACCGTGTTCCGAGCACGCCATCAAGCATGCCCCACGAACATGCCTCCGGCCGCAGCGAGCGAGCATTGCCGGTGAGCTCGATTTCTCGATACGACATACAAGAAATACATTGAACCGGCACATACGAAAGGTACTTGGCCCCCTATACTCCGTCACCGCCCACACATCCTGAGCCCTACCGCGCCAAATCTAAGTCGTGTTCTTCTGTGAGAGAGCTTTTGTCCGCTTGTGTTGCTGACTCTTCTGATATTCCCTTGCAGCCGTGTAGTGATGTGCCTTGCGATCCTCAAAGTACGGTGCTGGCTCCCAAAGCGAGCGCGGCAGACATCGACGCAATAGATGGGCGTTGTGGAAGGCATGGGTGTTTATCACGTAGCTTTGTTCTTGTTCGTTGTGCTCTATGAATCGCTCCGTAATTCCGGATTCTTGTTGCTCCTGCTTTCTGTTTCGTCGGCCTGTAGCGCCGCACTGCCCTGCAATACAATCATGTTGGACGTTCTGGCAGAATTCAATGCGCTGCTTCATGTCAGGGTTGCGGGTGGTCCCTGTGGGCATGGGCACTCACGTCTGCAGCAACAACTATCAGGGTCACCTCACCCAGTCGCCTTGAAAGTGTCGGCATCCCAAAAGTGGAATGCCGCGAGGAGCCCAATTGAGATTGGTCAATCAGGACGATGGCACCTGATTTCGCCGTGTTGGCATGAATCTCAACGATTCGGCCCACAAGGAGCTCGTCCTGAAACATGTCGGTTTGCCTCTGCACAGAAGGGGTCTGATGGGCTTACATCTAGAGGTGACCGGGCGAAAACCCATGCACCAATCGTGCAGACATCTTGAGACATCTGAGAAAAATCCCATGACTATACAGCACTACGTAGTCCAATATAGCATCCATAGTTTCATAGCAATGTCAATTTGTATGGGTGCTATGGAGCTGCCTGCAGTTGCTATAGAGGTACCTGCCAGTGCTATAAAGTGCTATGGGTGCTATAGATCACACTGCCATGGCTATATAGCACAGAGCCAATGCTATGGGCACTACAGATACTATGGCAATTTGGGAGTTATCATATGCACAGTAGATGCTATGGTTAATCAGACAAGAAACTAAAATACTTCAATAATGTTTCATTTTGCAAACAAATATTTGTATTGCATAATTGTCTACAAATTACACTACCAGTGCTACCAGCAAGCTTACATAAGCATATCACACAAACATAACTCTACATAGGTAGAGGCAGAGGCGAGGGCGGAGGCGGAGGCAACGCCGAGCCTGACCGCGTTGGCGGCTCGGGCTCGGTGCTGTCGAAGGGGGGCGGGAGGCGAGAGGCCGAGCCTGACCGCGTCAGCGGCTGGGGCTCGGGGCTGTCAGAGGCACGCGCGGGGGGTGGGAGGCGAGGCCGAGCCCGACCGCGTTGGCGGCTCGGGCTCGGGGCTGGTCGAAAGGCGGCGGGAAGCGTGGAGGTGACGCCGAGCCCGACCGCGTTGGCGGCGCGAGCTCGGGGGCTGGGCAGGAAGGC